GTAGAATGGCTTCTTTGGGCAATATAAGAAAGCGTGATTCCAGAAGATTTGAAAAAAGAAAAACTATTTTTATTAGTTACTATTGTTACATGCTGTTGAATTGACTGGGATTCATAGTGACCCTATGCATAGCTCTGAATCCAGCCCTATCCTGGGCCAAACTCAGTTCCTTTGACACACCTATCCTCATTACCCCAGTTATTGTTATCAGTTCATCTCATCCAGGGTCTCCCTCTCCTGCACTGTCCATCCACCCTTCCAAACATGATATCCTTCTCCAATGACTGATGCCTCCTGGCAATTTGCCCAAAGCATGTGAGACAGAGCTTCAAGATCCTTGCCTCCAAGGAGCAACTTGGTTTCATTCTCTCCAAGACAGACTTGTTCTCTTGGCGGTCCATGGTATGTTTAATGCTTTACTCTTCTCCAGAACCGCAACTCAAAACCACCAATTCTTCTTCCATCATCCTAGTCATCATCCAAATCTCTGACACACAGCAAACAATTGTGAAGCCCATGTCTAGACTGACACTGTTGCTCTTCAACACTCTGAAGAGGTCTCTGAGAGCAGATTTTCCCTGTGCAATTTGTCTTTTGATTTCTTGGCTGCTGGCGCCAAAGTGTTGATTATGGATCCAAGCAAGCTGAAATTAACAATCTCAATCTTTTCTCCATCTATCATGGTGCTGTCAATAGCCCCAGTGGTGAGAATCTTTGTTTTCTTGATGTTCAGCTTCAATCCATATTGATGACTGCAGTCCTTGACCCCCTGCAGCAAAGGCTTCAAGACCTCTTCAGTTTTGGCCAGCAAGATTGTGTCATCTGCACAACACAAGTTTGTTGATGACTCTTCCTCCAATCCTTATGCTACATACCTCTTCATAAAGTCCAGCCTCCCAAATGATCTGTTCTGCATATAGATTGAAAAGGTAAGGAGATAGGACACATCCCTAATACACTCCTTTCCTGATTTTGAACCATGTGGTGTTTCCTTGCTCTGTTTTGACGACTGCTTCCTGATTTTACAGGAACACAATCAGGTGTTCTGTGGTTCCTTCCCATTCTTCTCAACGTTAGCCACAAATAATAGTATTTATATTTTGTTTTTGTTTTTGCTGAGAATATACACCATTAAGACCTGTAATAATTTGATACTTTTTTTTCAATTTGACAATTTCTAAACACTCAATTTAGTGACACTGAATTAATGGAGCTGTGCAAACACATTAATCATTATTTTAACAATCTCCATCCAGCAGCCTCTATTTTTCACTCTACCAGTTCAAACTTAGTCTACATTATACACTTTCCTACTCTATGCCTCACTCAATGTGAAGGGTGGAGGGACAATGAAGGAGAGGGTGACCCTCGGTGAGAAGGACTCACAGTAACTGGGGCAGTGGTTGGTGTGTCAGAATCAGTGTGACTGGCTCAGGACAGGGCAAACTTCAGAGCTGTTGCACGCAGGGCCATTATGAGTTGCAGGTGACTTGATGATACATAACAACAACAATATAGTTCGTGCCAACGTGCACCTTCCACTGAGACCAATGCTGCTGCTCAGTCCACATCTACGCCTTCATAGAAGGGGACTCTCACGTGGATCATTACCTGTGGAGTGCCTTCGGCACATTATGTTACCTACTTACCTTGCAACGGCCATATAAGTATTCTCATTTAAAAAAAATTATTGAGAAATTGTCCAAGAGAAACAAAGTCATGGTTCTGAGAGTCAGACCTAGGTCTGACTTCAATGTCTATGTGCTGTGCTTGACATCATGCGGCTTCCTCTCCTCTCACCTTCAGCTAAATCCTATGCTAAGTTTAGGAGCTCAGTAAGTACTATCTCCTCTACACCATCCTAGTCAGCTTCACCCCTTCCAGATTTTTCTTTTGGCATTTCTACAGCATACAAACCCTGTGAAATTCAGAGTGCAACCACATATCAAAGTGTTTACTGTTGTTTATTATGCACTTCTTTTGTTCTTCTCAACTTATTTTTGAGTGTCTCAAGGACTTCCTGGACTGCATACACGATAAGGGTTTCAAGAGTTTTTAGGGAATTATGCTGAGATGTCTTGGCTTCCTGGGTCCTTAAGTAGAACAAAGGACAGGCACTGGACTGGGGCACAGAATGGGCAGTGCAGACAGGGAGTGGGGAGGGCCAACTCAGGTTTATTATATGAACCAATGAGTTTCCAACTTATTCTAGTAAGTAATGAGGAATCCTTGAAATATTTGAGAATGGCATGAGGAGAGCTATAGTTCAGAAAGTTGTATCTGGGTGGATTTGAATAATATAAATTGAACAGAGCAAGAGATTGAGTTCTGTAGAACATTTGCACACACATACACATGTACTTTTGTTGTTTTCTTCAATCTAAAAGCACACACCCAGAACAAACACACATAGTGCTAAATAGTCAAGGTGGGTTGTTCCAGACTCTTTAGAACTTACTATTCCAACCCTTGAAGAACCAATCAAGAGACAAATTTGGAGGCAAGAATGATGAGGCTTCATCTCACAAACGTTTAGCCATGTTGCTAGGAGGGTGTATTCCTTGGAGAAGGACATGATGTTGGGAAAGGTGGTGGGTCAGTGAAGGAGAGGAAGACCTTTAACCAGGTGGATTGACACGGTGACTGCTGCAATGGGTTCTGTGTGTCAGGAACTGTGACGATGGCACAGAATAGAACAGGGTTCAGATCTTTTGTTCACACAGTTGCTGTGAGTCATACTCAACTCAATGGTACCTAAAAACAACAACAACAAGGACTACTTGCTCAGTTTCATAAAAATATACAGGAATGATGTTTGGAAAGGTGAGCATTTTTATTCAATATAGGAGTAACTCCTGGTATAAGATTGTACAGTTCTGAAAAAATTATATATCAAGTAATTTTTCAACAAGTTTGCTCTGCAGGGCAAGGAAAATGTGATCATTTTTTAAAAGAACATAATTCCCTATAAACAAATAATTTCACTTTCTCATAAAATCTTTTAAGGTTTGTATTTTTCCCTTCTTTCTTGAAAGCTAAATGGGCTGGATGACATCTAAGTCAACTGGCATAACAGAGTAGTGAGTGACCAGGCCCTTAAAAGCTATGAGTGACCATCTACAATGTAACTACTGTTCTCTTCCCTCCAGGAGCAAAGGAGAATGAAGAACTAAATAGTCCAAATGACTAACAGAATACATGACTCCAAACAGCCTCCGGCATCCTGATAACAGAAGAACTAGATGGTGCCCAGTAACTACTACTGACAATTCTGATCAAGATCACAATAAAAGTCCTGGACAAACTGGGAGAAAAATGTGGAACACAATTCAAAATCACATAAAAGATCAGACATATTGGTCTGAATTCCAAGACGATATTCCTGAGATGTCCTTTAAATCTGAAAAGGAGCTCACTCAGAGAGGTATCTCTTAGCCAAAAAAATAGACAGACATAAAATGAACAATAATGCCATCAACCTGAGGAGAAACACGCCGTTCAGAACAACCAGTTACCCAAAACTAAAAACATAGCACATGCCCCAAAACAAAAGATGGGTGAATGAAAATGAGGAAACCGGGG